GAACTAGATTTTGAATGCCTACAACACAAAGAAAACCTGGTTTGGTTTTCACCACTGGAAGATCTGTGATGTGCAAGTCTACAAGACCAACAATACTGAACCCATTTTCAAACACCAGGGAGAAACGCAGCTGTTGCCAGCTTCTTTTTCTGTCTAAAAAATTAAACCATCATGAGATACTGCATTCTTGATGTAAACTGTAGACTCACAACTGGACTTTCATTTGCCTGGAGAATGTCACAAAGTAGTAGTCCAAGGAGAGAAAAGGGGCTATCTGCTCTGACCTTCCAAGACTAAATGAGCAGAAGCTCTTTAGCTTGGGAGATGGATAAACAGAAAAAGCAGAGGGTTGTTTTGAAGGTCAGCAAAATCATGAGTGTTCTGGAAATGCATAGTAAGGAAGTCTGTTACTTTCCATAGCAGAAGAGATGGAAAGCACTCAGCAGTAGATCAGATGAAAATAAATAGAAATACTCTTTAAAATGTGTACAAAATTGTGGTGTTCATTAGCAGATAGATAAAATGACTTCATCAGAGCTGAGCTGCACTGCAAAACAGTGTAGTCCATCAGTGGTTCTGAAACATAGTGGTACAAATGGTCTCTAGTTCAGGAAGTTCCTACACAGATGACTGCTAGAAATTTGGGATATTTGTCCACTGTGGCTTTTCTTCTTTTTGCTGAACATCTGATAATGGAGTGAAATACCAAATTTGATATCTCTTTAATGTTTTTAGCACCTTATAAAGATTTTAGCTGATTTATAAGGGTTTTTTGAGCAGCCTGTGGAATATTTTCTTGATTAGTTCACAGCTCTACTTATTAAAAACGTAAAACACTTTCAAAACGTGTTTTGTTGAAGCATAGATTCAGAATGTCTCCATATTGCCTGCACTGTTTTCTCTCACTTTGCATAATATTATAGAAGTCACATTCTGGTTTATGTTCAGAATTTTGCATGCATGGTGGATTGGTATGCAGAAAATGAGGAAGTTGAGAATTTATTTTCTATTATGAATGCACAAGTGTTAGGTATAGGGAGCTGTTTGGTGTAAGGCATCAGGATATAACAAAGTCTTGTGTGTAACAGACTGGGTTTGCAGGAAGGCTTTGGGGATTTTGTTTTATTAGGGCTTATTCTTTTGTAGTGTCTTGCTGATTTTGAAATTTGATGTAGTGTGATATTTTGACAGGTAAATATCCAGCATTTAAGGGAAGGCAGGGAGGGAAAAGTCTCAAGGTGTGTCAAGCCAGACATCCATGGCTGGCCATAAAGTTTGCTGAACATTAAAAAGGCCAAGCTTCAGTTAACTGACTGTGAAAGCAGAGGCATTATGAAGAAAAGAGAGGGGGAAAAAATGCTTTCAAATGAAGATGCAGGAAATGCTATTTTATTTCTAGTTAATTAAAAACATGGGGTTGCACTTGTAATTTGCATGTGAAATCTCACATTGAAATTATCTTTTTATTTTCTTCTTTCTTTTTTTTGCATGACAGTTGAATTGAAGTAGTGAAAGATTTGCGCTGGAGATAAGTTAGAACAGTTTGGTAACTGGTTCTGCAGAAAATCCTGAGTTGCACTTGCACCCAGACCTTACAGCGAATTCTAGTATGCCAGGCCTCATTCTAAGAAATTGATAAATGCAGAAGTCTTAGCACAAATTATGAATTTTATGTATTCCCCAGCTTCAGTTTCCTCACTATTCTGAACTGAAATCAAGGTCCGTTGTGTTAAACTGCTAGCTGTGTATGGCCTGTGATTTGCCTTCTGAACTCAAAAGCCCCTTGAACTCTAATTTATCTGGCCTTATCGGTTCATTCTGTGATTGAACTCTGATGTGAGCAGAAGTTGTTTCTTCCCTGCTTCTGATATTTGTTATTGTGAAAGTCTGGATGTATATATATGTGTGTGTATATATATACACACTGTTTCAGTTTATTTGGCTTTTTTTTGAAGTCCAACAGATGGAAAATTGCCAACAGGTGAACAAGAGAAGATGCTTTTGGCCTTCTCAATCCCCTTTTGTGTATGTGTTGACACTGAGCATACATGCGGGTATTAATCATAGTAGAAATTTTCCAGTACTGATAGCAATATAAGTCTGGTTGAAATATCACTCCTTTTATAAGGGATGCACACAGCTATAAAAAGATGCAGGTTGTTTTTCTCCTTATGGTTTGACTGAGTCTGAAATGATCCCTGCTTTTGTTTGGAATTTTTTCTGCATCCTAAGTTTGGTTATGGTTGTTGATTGTTACGGGATTTCTTTTAATTCCTCTTTGGCTAGGCTCCTTCAGCATGCTTGGGGACCATTATTTAGACATTACTTAAATCTGGCATTGGTTCTGGAGGGGGCAGTCAGTTAGGCTTTGACCCTTCCCCAGGCTGAGTGTCCTGATCTTTCTTAGTCCTTTCTTTTGATGTGTTTGAAAAGCATCTTGCTTTTAGTCTTAACAAGTTAATGTTTCTTGCTTTGGCTTGCCACCTTATGGTTGTTTTAACTTGTCTATCTTCTCTGTTTTCCTTGAGAGAACATGTTTGGGGATTTGTTTTTTTGAAGTCTCTTCATTCTAATTGCCACCTTTAATCAGTTTCTGAGTCACACTGGTGGGGTTTTTTTTGTCCTTTCAGAATATTTTTTGATAAGTGTATTACCACTTCTCCTGATTCCCTAATATGTACAAGAGGTGAACGCTTTACCCTTTCAGTTTCATCTTTTAGCTTATTTTTAAACAGCTTCTCCTTTTCTGTGTAGTCACCCTGTGCTTCAGCTGATTGCCTGTAAGTTCCTATATTTCTGTTGCATTCTATACCTACTGTGGCCTTAAGAACTGATGAATCTTGGTGTAATGTGCCTGGCTGGACAAGATGTTTGGTTATTACTGCATTCTTTTATATACATCACTCTGGGTTGTACTGCTTACAGCATGTCCTTGCTGCCCTAGGAGTTCAGCTATTTCACTGACAGTTGACATGGAAGTCTATAAGGATGATCAAATGGACAGATAGTACACTGAGAGAAAATACAAGAGGGGGGAATAGGAAGTAATCTCAACTGGCAGGGTAGACAGTCCTTCTTTCATCCATTCCTTTTTCTTCTTTTGAGGAAGTTTTGTTTTTGTGTTGTAAAATACCTGTCATTTCATCTTGTATAATACAACACTACATTGCATACTATAAAATAGGAGTCTTGACCCACCCACAATGCCTGATCTCTAAGTCAGGTGGAACTTGAAAATTGATTTAAATCCCCACAGCATGGAGGTGTTCATCATCTGTATTTTACACAACATTCACTGCTATGTTAACCATAAATCTATGAGATGAAGTAAGGTATCCCAAGAATCTCTTTTTCATTCCATTAAGGTGGTTTACTGATTTACAAACGCTACTAGAACACTCTTTATAGGAGGAGTAGATTGATGAAACAGGAACAGATGGAAAAGTGAAAAATTTGGAGGACCTAAATTTAATTGCTTAGGATCACCAATATGAGGCAATCTAGTCTTCAACAGTCTGCAGGATATTGAGATGACTTTTCTATGTACGTGTATCTTTTTGATTTAGTTGGCTTTTTCCTTTTGTTCTTTCCTGTTTGTTGTTCCTTCTTGGCAAGGGGGAGGCTATTCACCCAAAATCACAACCCTGTATGTCCTTGTTTTATGCATAAATTGCTTATAAATGATGTCTAGTTTTTTAACATATTTGGTACTTTTGACCTTGAATATCTAGTAGTGAGGTGTTTGACTTTCTCAGCCTTAGAGAGAAGAGAGAAAGCTGATCCTGAAGTTTGACTGGTAATTGGTGGATAAAAGAGAACTGGTTTATGTTATTTACATTGGCGCTCAAAAGCCTTAGAGTGAGATTCAGGCAAAGAGACTACTTAATAGAAATGAAATGTTTATTGCATGAGAGGTAACTGCCATTACAGATCAAGCTATTTAAAATAAATCACAGAATTGAATGTAGTTTTCATCAAAGCCAAAGTGACTATGTTGTGCCTTAGGGTCTGGTAGCAATCTTGCCATTACTGAATATTAACTTCACATATGAAAAAGGTGGTTAGTAGTAAGGTAGAAAACCTTGCAGATGAAAAGAATGAAGGTAAGTCAATAACAAATTTTTACGAAGACTTCATCAAACTAGGAAAGATTGTGTAAAGGAGATAACCTTTCGTGCTGATATAAGTAAAATCAAGTATAATGGAAAACATGACACATGAGTAACGTGTATGGAGCAGTGTTTGCTTTCTAATTGCATCTTATGTTTATACACTGAGTTCTTAAGGGGCTCTTCCAAATCAAAGTGTCTTTCTCTCAACTTTGGCACAGCAAATTTAGTGCTGTTACAATATCAGGATTTCCTTGAAGTATCTTTCGGTGCTGCTATTACCGCAGAGCATTGAGTCAGAAGTAAAGCAAAAATAAATGCTTAATTGTTTGGTGTATAAAACTTTTCCTCTACCTTCCTTATGCCATGCAATTCAAAACAACTTATGTTTGCTGGGAGTTTAACTCTACTTGCTTTTATATGTTATGTTCTAGCTGTTCATCATAGAGAAATGTTCCCTGTTGTACAGGAGGTAATAATTGTTCTGCTCAGGTGATTGCACTAACATATTAATGAATAATTAAAATATTTAACATAATTTTTATTATATGTTTGTGTTCTAGATTAAAAATTTTGAAACCTTTTTTATTCACTTATATGAAAGTATAAGTGAATGTATATGTCTATGAACGTCTATGCACTGCCTAATTTTTCCCTTGTGTTCTTGCATATGTTCATAGACTTGTAAAGTCTAAGTAGATGTTCTGCTATGGGTCAAATACCATATTTCATTCCTTGTGTGAACTTACTTTTATGGGCTGTTCCTTACAGCTCTTCAGAATAGAGAGCATAATTGTTACAGGATTTCTTGCTGTAAAAAATAAAAAAGTGATGATTCTTTTCAATTTTCTTAGATTGTCTTGTTTACAGTGTTTCTTTGGTTTATTCAAGGGCATTGGGAGTCTCAGTGACAGACTATACATTTGAAGACTGTCAGCTAGCTTTGGCTGAAGGACAACTTCGTCTGCCTTCAGATACGTGTCTTTTAGAATTTGCAAAGCTTGTGAGAAGCCTTGGGTGAGCATATACAATATTTATATGTATTTATACCTGTCTGTGTTTATATAGCTTTCCCTTTACATAACAATATTGCTTTTATGAAGATATATGGAGTGTTGTCATAATACAGTCAGGGAAACACTAATATGAAATTGAACCAATACTGTACTCCACTTGCAAGCAGCACCCTTGAATCCTGGTTAGTAGGATAGGTTGTAACGCTCTTATTTTTTGTCTGACAAGTGGGCAGAGTGTGTCTGAAGTGTTCATTCTGGAGGAAGACCTGAAGACACTTCATGAAGAGGGTCAGGAATACTGTGGGATTCCCAATATTTGATACAGTTAAGACTCAATTGCCTTTTTCCTGGGCATCTGTGAAGGGAAAACAAGTGCTGCTGTCACAGTCTTGTGACTGGATTAACCTTGTAATAGTGAGGACAGAGGGGTCACCCTTTCCCAAGAAGCACAAAGTGGTGGTTGATCTTTGGAGCAGGTTACTGCCAGATGGACTTTCTAATAAAACTGTAGCTTAGTATAGGCAGCATGGCTCCTCTCTTCTCTCTTCCAATAGTGTCATTTCCCACTGGCTTTACCTTTCAGAAAAGCCTCGGCAAACCAGAAAAATTCACATAAATCAAATAGTAGAACTTACTGCTGCTGTCTTCCAATTTCTCTCCTGCTTCTCTAGTCATTCTATTGAACAATCACAAACTAAATGTACAGTTTCATCCTATTAACTGTTTTAATATGCAAACACCCATTTTCATTCTGTCTCATCACCTGAAAGTATAGAGCATAGTTTCATGTTTCCATTCTGTACTTTATTTCCTTTCACTGATTTCCCTTCATCTTCAGCTTGTTTGCATAAAGGAAATAATGAAGAGAAAGCTCTATTGGAGAATAAGGAATGTAGGACAGCATACATTATGCATTCAAATGACAAGCATATATTAATTTGTTGTCAGGACCTCCATCTGAGAAGACCCTCATTAGGATAGGATGGACTTCTAAGGGGAAAAAAGGATTCTTGGTTTGTTTCAGAGGCTCTGAATTCACAGTACTAAGACAAAAAAGCAAGTGAAACAAAACAAACAAACCACCCACATCTCTTATTATGCCGTTGATAATCCCAGGATTCAGTTTAATCCTCTTGTTAAATTGTCTAGCTTCTGTCTGCTCAGTTTAAAGCTGTTCTTTCAAATTATGCTTTTCTGGGTTTTTGTTTTGGCCTCTAAAACAATTGAATGCATTTATGAGTGAGGTTTTCTGCAACCCAAAAGTTTTCTCTCTGGTTTGAGCCATTATTCATTGCTGAAATCTTTTCCTGTCTGGATTTGGGTGTGTGCCAGTAAGAAGGCTATTACAGTGGTATTTTTCTGGTGCAATTCAATGAAGATTGTAATATGACTTATCTCTAACACACGCTTGATAGTGAAGCAGTCATTTTGCTGTTTATTCAAAGATTTTGAGGACAGGGAGGCATTAAGATCATCCACTTGCATCCCTAAATAACTGGAACAGTAAATTTTATCCAATGGATTTTTCATCTGGTCTTAAGACTTGTCTTTGAGCAGTGCAATACCTTGAAGGTAACGTCCAGTTTTAAAAGATTTCTATAAATAAATTTAAATTTCTTTTTGGTTTAGAGTCTTTGAAATCAACTTACACCTCAGTTTGCTATACTGGAGGGTTACTTCTGTGCACATTATGTCTCTAGGATTCAATATCATTGTCTGTAAAATTTGCTTAGACTTTGCTCAGCTGGATGGGATCCAGTCCAGAAGCCATGAAGCCACAGCAGTGAGTTCTCATGCTTCACCTAATGACAAGTTCAGGCTCTGTTAATGGAGCTGTGCAGTTGGCTGAAACTCAGCTGACTTATATTGAACTCCATGGTAAAATGACTATTTTATCCATGAGATCAATTGATCATAGACTTATCTTTTCAAATTGTGCATTCATTAGTCCTCAAGCAGTTATGCTTCTCTTGAGCCTGGTAATCTCTGTCTGACCAATGAGCTGATTACTAAGCTATATGCAGTCTTTATTAAAGCTTTTATACATTGTAAATCCTCTGCTTCATTTGATGATTTATTCCACAATTAATTACCCCACTGTTTACGATGATTCTCTATTTATATTTTGACTGGCTCTATACCATCTTCTAGACATTGAATCTTGCTTGGATTTTGTGCCTTATTAAAGACCTCCTCGGGTATCTTCTCCTTTGGGAAGTGTTAATACAGTTAATTAAGTCTCATCTCCATCTTTTCATGAGATACTTTTTATGACCTGCTTTAGGGTAGTTCCCTGCAAAGGAGATTCTGAAGTTCTGATTTGAATTTATTTGTTCCTATTGTTTCAAGCTTCTGTTCATTCTAATTCCTGCATTCACTTTGCCCATAAACTAGAAGGACCTTCTAGCCTTAATTGTTTTTCCTCTTTCTTATGGAACAGTGGCTTTTAGGCCATCAGTGGCTCATTAGAGAATTCAGTTTTCAATATTATTTTTTCAGCTGTGGTTGTTCTCAGTTTTAATTGTTTGGGGTTTTTTTTTTGAAAATTAGGGAAATCTCTCTTCTCTAAGACAAAAAAAAAAAGGCAAGCTAAATGTAGCACATATTGCAATCCAATGTAGAGGTTTTTTAGTGACTGTGTTCTGCTTGCTGTTAGATGAGGCTTGTAAAGTCAGGTTTTAAAGTGACCTGAAATTTTACTCAAGTAATTCTAGTGGTCCAGGTCTTTTGCACTTTTTTTTTTTTTGAGGGGGTTGGCGCAGAGCAGGGAGGCTAGAAGAAATTGTAGCTGTAGTTGGGTTTATTTTTTTAACTCCTGTCTTCTCTTTTCTCTTGCTTTCTGCCTACCCTTCAATTTGTTAATATTTAGTGCTCTGCTGCTGCATTATTTTCTTAATTGCTTCATAATTGTTCACTTTTAAAACCATAGATAGGATTTGAAACATCTAGCAAGATTGGATGCATCTCTCATCTTTCTGTTTTAGTCACTGTTTTCTACTTACTGATTTCTCTCATTAATTTAAAATCTTTATGGAAAAATAGTCTTCAAACTTGTCACTGAAGACAGTATGGCTTTGCTGATTGCCTACTGCTTTTGAAAATATGGCTTGTACCTCATCATCTTTTCAGGTTAGATTTCAGAAAAATCCACTGTTCCTGCCTTTTAGGCTTCTTAGTTTTCATAGCAGGATTGCTCTTAGTAATTTTTATCTTTAGTTATGGGCAGTAATTTTGTTTTGAATTCTTTTTGGATTCCTAAATGTCTCCTGTGCTTTCCTGACCCTGAGTATTATTAATGTCTTGTACCCATGTGATGAGTACTAGTGATGTCTGCAATGGAAGAATTTTCTACGACTTAACAAGCCTTAATGAACCTTAACAAGGTTTACCTCCTTACATACTCCCTTGGCATGGTGAAATCCAGTGCTGGTAAACCCACTTGTATTGAATCAATTCTGCTGTCTCTTGAGCCATAGTATTTTGGTAAGAATGACATGAATTAAACAGCAATTCCATTTTGACTTCTACTGTCCAATATTATCTCACCTTGTTGGTCATGAGGATCCTACTAGACAATGCTCATAGGCTTCTAAGATCTGCAAGGAGGAGATAATTACCCTGTAGGCCTGGTGCCTGTCTTGTTAAACAGCCTTTACCGTCACGACTACAATGCAAATTTCTCATCTCTGTGTGCCTGAAATGGTTGTTCAGACTGTAGGTAGAACTTTGAATCCCCAAAGTAATAACCATCACAGCACTAACAGTGCCATGACTTCAGATTGTTCAGAGGTCATCTATAACAAGGAAAAACCTCTGGAGGATGTTGTCCATCTGCATTTGTGATTAAAACAATAGTGTCCATTACAGGAGGTGATCATGGATCAGACGTAACATAGCAAATACCAACCATGGTAGCCTCTACCTTTGTGGATCAAGGCAGAGTGTGCCAAAACTATTCAAGAAGGTCAGGAGTACATCAGCAGACAAAACTGAATGTACTGCGCTTTTTCTGGCTTAGGGCATGTTTCTCTGTGCTTGCAGTTTACAGTAGCTAGCTACAAGATCCAGCTGTTCTTCCAGCCCTGTGAGACACTAGAAAGTTTTTGGCGGGTTCCCAGCATGCAAGAAAGGAGTTTGTTTTCACATAGTCAAATGCAGCTAAAACTAGCTTCCTTGCTAAAAATAGTGGCAATTATCCTGAAAATATTCTACCTTCAGGGATATGGTTTTCCTTGTTAAGTCTGCTATGAGGAATCTAATGTTCAGAGCTGTTAATCTTGAAAAATGTCCTTTCCTTCTTCAAGGACTCGGGAATGACTTTTTGTTCTCTTTAGCATGTACTGACCTATAGAATTAAGAAAAACACAACAGCAAATAATGTTGTGTATCATAAAACCTAGATTCTGCATGGAAGCAAATAAGCCAACAAGCATGATTTCATCAGCAAAGACATTTACTGTTGGTTTTCTAGCTTTTCTAGCTTCCATTGGGGTAAAAGTAACAATTTTAAAGGAGTTGAGGCATTTGAACCATTTCACATTCATTCAGAATCTACTATGGGATTTGCACTTAGCTTCAGAAGACTTCAGCATAGCAGCTTGTGGTCATCAACACATCAAGTGCTTTCTGATTCTGAAAGGGCTAAAGGAAAGTGAACCTACCTTGGATTACCAGGAATGCAATGAAAACTCAAGCTGAAGCAGTGTTTCCCTCATTGACCTACATCCCATTTTTGAGATTGACTCACATCTCTTTATTTACAAAACACAAACCACAAGATGTCTGTAAGGTTCATAGTAAGCCATGCTACTTTCCATACAGGGTTTTGCCTTCCAACTTTTTTAGCTTTTTGGACTTAATTACTGGTGAAGAGATCTTGCAAGTCTTTAATACTACTCATCAAATGAGTACTCCCTCAGTTCCAGAAGGTGAATTTTGAGTCAATTCATTGCAAATCAAGTCTCTCTGATTTAGAAACAGATGTTAGACCCTGTATTCTGTGTCAGTGATGGCTTATCTGAAGGGAGGGTTTGGATGCCAGCTGTCCTCATCCTACAGTTAAAATCCATTTCAGCTACTACAGTGGGATCTATTATCTGTGGGCACTTCTCGCATGTAATCCTGCATGTGAGAAGCTGAGTTCGGTGTGCATCTCAAATCCTCCATGGATTTCTTTGTTTTTGTTCCTGCTCCTTTTCTACTCGGTCATGGAGAATGAAAGTTTGCAGAAGGGTGTCTCACTCCTCTTTCTATACTGTCTAAGACTAAATCTGCAAGTAGGTGCTTTAATGCTAGGATGGAGAACGTATCAATGTTCTGTAGCAGCCATAGATCTCTGGAAGAATTCTTCCATGTTCAGGTCTTATAATTCAGAAACATGAGGCTTGGCATTGTTTAGTGAGTACATACTTGGTAAGTCAGTATAGGTCATGACAGGCAGCATGGTAGTTGTGCTTTTACTTAGAAGCTGGAATCTTTAGGAGGGGTCATTACAGCAAGCAATCAAGTTCTGGAACTGACGTATCAGATAACCTTCCTATAAGAAATGCTCTTATCTTTTTTCAGAAGCTCATGAGAATGCTGATATTAAGCATTTTATTCATTCTTCTAACTGAGAGGAAGCTGCTGAGGAGTCCCAGCTGCAGTCTGGGAACAATTCTGGTGTGAGCTTCTGACTTCCGTGAATAACTGTTTTTCCTTGTCTGCTCAGCAAACAGCAAAACAGGCAACTGCAGAAGGATATTGTACAAGACTTTATTGGCTTCTTTTATCTTCAGACTGGAAAGTTTGGGTGCCCATGTTACCCTGTCAGTTCAGAGAGAACCTGCTGATCAAGGCTTTTTTTTTTTTTTTTCCCAAAGCTAAAACAGGAAGCTTGACTTAGGGGAAAAACCCCAAACCAACAACCATGCAGTAGATACCTGCATAATTATAAACCTGTTCATTCGTCTGTCAAAATCTGGTTTTGCAGTGGGAAGGAATGAGGAAATTCTGTAGCTGTATGAACTGCTATGATTTTGTTTGGGTCATCTCATAATGGTGTCCAACTCTGGAGTGAATGTGAAAAATGAGGACTGACAAACAGGATCAACAGTATAATCGCTATTATGTAATCACTGATTTTTTTTAGGCAAGATGCATCAGGTCGTTCCTGTTCAGTGACATTAGTAAATTTGGAAACCTAATTGGTTTATGTTACTGTCCTACAATGCAGCCATATTTGGGTGACCTAAATTCCACCTAGTTTTCCATGCTTGGTATTTATTAGCTAGTTCTAGTCTGTGTTTCTTCATGTTGAACTGCTTGCACATACGGCTTATAATCCAGGCAGAATAAAGGACACAAGGTTATGTCCAAGGCTCTTTAGGCCTTGCAGTAATTTCTAATATAGTTCAAGAACTTAACAGGAGCCTTAAAATTACAGGAATACATTATTTTATAATAAAGTTGTGTAGCAATTCTGATTCCAGATTTTGTAGCACTTTACACCATTATCATCCACTGCTTCATTTGGAATACTGAAATGTATGTTGTTAAAACTGGGTTTATGTTTAAAATCTGCACAAACTATTTGCTTCCTAGGCTGAAGCCAGAAACACTGGTAGATGATCTTGATAAATATGCTGCGAGTGCCATGAAAATGAAGAAAGAAAAGATTGATCTTAAAGAATTTTCAGCATACTTGGAATGTCCAGTTTCTCACACGTTAGAAAGTATGTTTGCACTTTTTGATGAGGTAAGAAACAATGTTATGTTTAAAAGTTTTTCTGCTTTGGGTAAACTCCACTTTAGCCTACTTCTGTTCCAATCAAAGTCACTGAGGTCTTCACCATAGTATTTGATTGCTGCATTTCCCTTTCAGCAAGGTAAGGGCACCTATCATCAACTAAATAGAGCATTCATTCAGGTAAAAGTTACCAGGAGTATCATCAGTTGGACATTTTCTTTCTAGATGTGAAATATGAAGAGGAAGAAAGGTAGAGTCAGACTAAACTTCTGCTGTTGCTTGTTGCAACTGAATGCACTGTCTGTTAGCTGATCTTGACTTACCTTGTAAATAAATGACTTGTTCTTCTAAGATGCCTGAAACCTGAAGGACTTAGGAACTGGTGTATGAGCCAGTTTTTCATTCCTCTGGCAATCAGTCAGAATGGGGAAACTACTATTATCTCTGTCTGGATGAGGTGCTGTCTGGGCCAGGAGGTGGATATGTCTGCGATATTTTCTCTTAGACCAAAGAGCAGATGTCACATATTCAGAGCTTAAATTAGGCTGCATTGTCCTCTGGTTCTCTGGTTTTAATTTCAGCCCAGTAATTCAAATGGTTTAATGTAAAAAATCTTAAATATGCAAGTGAAGGGTGACAGGAGCAGCACTGTCTTGTAAGAATATTTGAACTAGCACTTTGAACTGAGACTCTGAATAGGGCAGAGCTTTCACCCAGGTTCTTGCCTTCATGTGATTTTATTTCAGTGAGACTTTTTTTTTCACCATGGCATATGTAACAATCTTTCTGAATATTCTACATCTTTAGCAATGTTAGTTATTTATGCAAGTTCTCAGACAAACTACAGTATTTTGAGGGGAGGTTTTCCTTCACAGAATGAAGATGGTGTAATTGATGTTCGGGAATTTGTCATTGCTCTGTCAGTTGTCTGTAAGCCATCCAAAACTCTGGAAACAATTCAGCTGGCATTTCAGGTAAGGAGCATTTTCTTTCTTGCTCTATGTAGTTTACTTACTTTTAGAAATTATTAATACTGTATTAGACTTACTTAATAGAAATTTCATATTCCCTATTAATACTTAGTCACATTTTAAAACAGTATTAATGGAAAATTAGATTAAGAGGTCACATTCAGAGGGAATGCACTGCAAGTTTGTTGTGTAAAATTATGGGAGTTTGAAGTTTAAAATTGTTCTCTGTGAAGCTCTGGTAGAATTCGTTTCAGCAAATTGAATCTCAAACCTCAAACTAAATTCCTCTAAATTAAAGGCTAATATGTTGTACTTGCTGCTTTTAGAATGATTCAATCAAATCTTATTTTTCAACTTAATGAAGTATGTAACAAATTTTCCTACGTGTTAATAGAGATTAATTTTTTTACTTCCTTTTATCTTCTTGTAAAGATTTTCTTCCCTCTTAGTCGTACTATGTTTCTGTGCTGGTCCTGCAGTCTTTGCCCAGATTTTGTTTCCCAGCAGTGCTCCTGATCCTGTTCTAGCCTTGGTGGTTTGTTTTATCATCAGCATAGATTGTTAATGCAGGCTCTTTGGGGAAGTGACAGCAACAATACTTAATATTTGTCATTCTGATGCGTTTCTGACACCTTGATTTATTACTTTTCAATTAGTTTCTTTAATATTGCTATTTCAACACATGAATTCTGCTGCATCCTGCATCATCCTTTCCCTTTGCTTTGAACTCACATGGTCTTTAGTGTTACTGAAACTGTAAAGTGCTAACTCTTGATGCTGTCCTCACTAGTGAATGCATGGAGCTGAAAATGTTCATTTGCATGGTACTACATGGTAGCTTTATTTTCTCAGTAGTTGCTTTCAGGTCCTTCAGCACACCTGTACTGCCTTAACTATGTTTCACTGAAGAAATGAGGCTCCTGTGAATGTTTAGTGTTCATATGTATCGTTCTTACCCTCTGGCCAGTATCAAACACATTTGACAAAGGAGGAAGGAACAAAAATATTTAGTTCCTACAAACACTGGGGGAAATAGCCATTTGTAACTGCTGTTACTTATTGCTACTTCTGGGGGAAAATGAGAAAGAAAGGTCTGTCCTTACTTGGTCCATTTGATCTATATAATGAGATAGCAAAATAGTCAGGTGCTGTTTGGTCAGCTCTGTGTTTATACTAAAGTGAGCAAGTTTACTTTAAACTTGAGGGGTTTTTGGCAGTATTTCAGTGTATTTTAGCTGTCATGATCCATAAGGTACAACATAATTTTACCACTTTAGAGGAAGAAGAGCTCAGATCAGGCAGTTAATTTCTTTTTGTAAGCACTTGAATTTAAGTTAATAGACATGTTTCTTAGTAAAATTTCTGTTCTGCATTATCTACTTTATTCTTCAACTCATGATGCACAATTTTGAGTTCCCTGGTTAATTGCAAAATATAAAGTTAGCTATAAAACTGCAAAGAAGTTCTATGCATATATTAAGAAGGGGAAGCATTCAGCAAGGGGAAGCAGATATGGCTCATTTTATCATACTAATGATGGTTGGAACGGTAAAGAAAAATTTCAAGCTGGGAATATTTTGCTCATTATTCTAGAAAAAAAAAACAGCAAAGTACTTTTTTTCCATCCTTTCCTACCCCTTGGCCTGCCTTTGTGTACCATAAGATATTCACACAGCTTACTTGGAGCCACTGAAGGATCAAGCCAGTTCAAGAATGTGTGACTTGGAACAGGTGCTGTCTTCTGCCATGTGCTACTTTTTGCCAAGCATTTTGTCATTTGCTTTCAGGGAAGGTGCAACATTTCACATAGCTACAGGTTTTCAAAGTCAAAGTGTTTAGTATATGGCTGAAGAACTTTAAAAAATAGGAGTTAACCAAGTCACCAGATTTCTACAGCAGTGAGCAATTAAAGGAGATGAGGGTATTATGACAATCAAGTCTAAGAGCAGCACTCCAGTGTAAGTGCTGCACATTCTGCCTTCTGACCTGCTAAGGAAACATGATGCTTGTGAGCCATGCCACAAAGTATCACCTGACTACTTGTATTGTGAAAATGTAGCAGGTTTTATTAAACAATTGTCCTTGCCCCTATTCCTGTGACACAGCGTGCAGGTTAGGTGCTAGGGCGGAAAGGGCAAGATTCCTGATCTGAGCGTGAGTGTTGTCCTCCATAGAACTTCAATATTTTTATGCCTCTAAGGTGTGCTGTCTTGTGACAGCAACTTCTGCTTGGGTAAAAAATGCATCCTTATGCCTGTTTTGTTAAATCTCGTCAGTTCCCAACTTGTTAATGATGTAGAAAAATCAAAAGGAAGTTTCCAAAACAGCATTCTTACATGGTTCAATATTTGCAGTGTTGTCATGCTTGAAAAGGAGACAGGGATGTTTCAAAAACTCTTTTGTCTCACTTCCCATTTTACAGGCAAATTGAGTTCTTTTAAGAAAGTTTAATGAAGCTGTATTTGGTACAGATGTTTCAAAACACTTGGGTCTGGTTTTCAAGGAAAAACACTGCATATATACAAAAATGGAATGTGACTATGAACAATTATTTTTAGTTATCAACTTGTCAGTAGTAAAGCTAATTGAGGAAAATCTTTGTTTCAGGATGTAACAATAAGCAAATTATTATTTTCTAGAATTCATTATTTGTAGAAAGTTATAGGCCCATCACCGTATGGGGCAGGATATTCCTGATTGATACCATTTAGATCTAGGCATTTTATGCAAACTGGCTTCTGAACTTTGGTCAAAGGAGTCTTGAGTGTCACATCTGACCAGGTGGAAATGGTATCTGCTGATCTAAATATATCTCCTGGTTTTTAAATGTTGTCTTTGAGTTTGAACATATACTTCAGTGGACTAAACATTATTCTGAGTTACATATCTGCAAAACATGTTAGTGTTAAACAGTCTTGTCACTGAATATCACTGAAATTACAGTGGTTAGGCATGTAAACATAGGATTTTTTTTCTGAATATAGCAAGCTTTGCTTCCTAAGCATACACAGGTGAACTGGTAATGATATCTTTTACCGAAACTAATCTGAAATCCTTACTATATCACATCAGTCTGAGAGTGACTAGAATTTCCAATAACAAATTTTAATTTTGTGTTGAATAGTGCTGTTTATTGGAGTTGGCATTCAGCTTTGCAATGGTTTATCTTGCTGTCTTGATTCATAGCTGTACCAGTCAGAAAGTGGAACTATAACAGAAGAGGATTTAGCTCATATTCTGAAGACTGCCATGGGTGTGTCACAGATCAATGTTACACATCTTTTTAGAGCTGTAGATGAAGAAGAAAAAGGAAAGATTACATATGGTAAGTATTTTAAGTGGATCTGAACTGTCACAAAATGTCAAAGCCTGAACTCATGTTGATATATGAAGCAGTTTCATTTTTACTAAACTCTACGTTTTTTCGTTGACTTGTTGACTTTAATACTGACAAAAGCACTGCAAAACAAAGTACATTTACATTTTAAAAAATTATATCAAATGCCATGTTTACACATTTTCAGAACTTTTCCCTTGCACATTAAGTCATGTAATACCTGGACTAGCTCTTTCAACATATTCTGTTCTGTGAATGTCTGTGATTATGTATTTTTAAGAAAGCTACCTTAGCTCTGTCCTGTTGTTTTGTCTCTTGTATCTGGGGGCAGGAAATGAGGGGGTTAACCAGGCTGCCTAGTGTGTAGCCTGTAATGTAGGTGCTATGGAGGTGAGAAAAAGTTGCATTTGTAAAATTGAGACCTGCGTGAGTAGATTATGCTGGGAGTCAAAGCACTTGTGTGGTACTTCAGATTCTTCATGTTTTATGCAGTAAGGTGAGGTTCTAAATTTAGTTGTATCTTTCAAGTATGAACTGAGTTGTTGATAGCCAACATATCATGTATCTCCAGGAGAGGCACTTACGACATACTCCGTTTTAATGGTTTTCCTTCAGAATAATCAGTAGGTACTTGATTTGTAAAAATCTTACAAAATAAGACATCAGTGTTAGTAAATCAGAATGTTTACACTTGTAATTCCTGTGTTTCAGTCATGCAATATGTATATAAAGCTTCAACTGCAGAAATATTTTAGAATTATTGGAATGAATATCATTGCCACTGCCCTTGCCTTGCTCCCTGACTGTTATGTCTTCCCTCCTTAATTGCTGGTGTACTTCCCCTTTCCTTTCTGTACCTCAGGTCTGTCACATCCCCGGCATTTCCATGTGCATTCTGCCCATTGCCTTTTTCCTGCCTATCTCTGTTGCTTCTTGTCTCCCAATTCATGTGTGCAGTGACTCAACTCTTCCCCCTGCCTCCCCATCACCAGCTTCAAAAATATCAACACAGAATCTTAATCTGGTGAGCCTAGCAGAACTCTAATTTTGGCACACTTCATTGTTTGGGAATAGCTAGATTTCAAGTCATGTACAAGTGAATTCAGACCAGTTCATGTGAGTTACCAAAGAATTCATATTTTAGTATTCCTCTTTAATGGTACTTAGTTGCATTTAAATCTGCACTTTTCCCCTAAGTGGTCATGATATTTCTCCATTACAAGAAAATCTGGACCACTGAGCCACAGCAGTGGCCACTGAAGTGCTTGGCTCTCATTTTCACTATTTCATTTCCTGTAGTCAAGAATAGTCTTTTGTGAGGCTATACAAAGTAGGGTGTAGGATGGTGTTTACATAGTTTCTTTGAAACTTCCCTTGGTTCTTTTTCTGAGATAGGAGCTCATTTTATAATAAAAACATTGCACTGTGATTTAAACATATCTAAAAGCTTAATAGTGAGAATCAGTGTCTGATTTACTGTGGTAGAGAATTAGAAGATGAAAATAAACTTCTGGTATTGTATTTCTGTCTTCAAAGTTCTTGCCATAAATATTCATCTCTTGCCTTTTCTGAGAATATGTGGAACTGTGCACATGTTCAGTTTATTGCATTTATTTACTCTACAAATTTTTCCACTTCTTCTTTAGACTACACCTTTCTGAAGGTCTTGTCCAGATAAGTCCTGAGAAATCAAAGTTTTGTTTCTGCTGGAAGAGTACTCATGTTACTCTGGGTGCACACAGCAGAGGTCTGCTCTCAAGCTCCCTCTTTCTAGGGTGTGGGAATGTGAAGCAGGAATATTAAGTCTTGAGTGTTACTTGTAAGAACAAAATATAAAATACCCAGAGTATCAAACATAAATGACTGCACATATAGCAGAGTCCTTGAAGCCAGCGATCTCATCCCAAAGGAAAAAGCAGAGGTTGCAGGTAAACAGAGTAATGAATAGCCAAATCAAGATTGTATAACTAGATTGACAATCTTAGATGTAAATTGTTAGAAATTTGGATTTTCATCACATGTTTGAAAGCACACTAGTTGCCAGAGGTCTGTGTATCAGTTCTCTTAAGCAGTATGCTGTTGGCTTAACTGTTCAGATGTACTTTGATTGCAAAGCTCATCCCTTCTCTATAATAGAGAGGCAAGATTTCTCAATTTGAAGACATGATTCTGGAGAGTTTGAATAGATTCTGTAGGTGGGCATCACAAGTTCTAGGAAACTCTCCAGCACATCTTGATAGACAATTGATGACTGTGAAAGTGTTCTGAAGACTACATGGCTTGCAGTACCAAGAAGAAAAGGGAGATTGGCTGGTTTGTCTGTATGGATAAACATTCAGAGAAGGAACAAGTATTTGTTCTTTAAAATTAGTATCCTTTCTTATATTAACCATAGGATTATCTGATTAAGTCAGTGTACACTAGGGTAATTATGTAGTTGAGGGGGAAAAAATCTGGAGGAGATTCAGAACATAGAGCTTCCAGGAGGAGCATCAAGTAGTAGGAGGGTATTTCAAAGGCAGGAGAAAAACCTCTTGAAGTTCTTGTAGAACATATGCATACTTAATGCAAAAATATAGATGAGAGTCTTAACTCCTCTTTGGATTGGTACTTTTTTTGTCTCTTTGCTCTTACTAGGGGTAGGATGCAAAATTACATTTTTTCCTAAGTTAATGTATAATGTGATCTTTTCCTTCAGTCTACTGTTTCACAGTTGCTTTCAGCTTGAGCTCTGAGACCTGTGATTAGAAGTAATTCTGGAACAGTTCATTCTTTCTACATCACCTTGTCTCATGTTTCTGATGAATGAGGCGTATGTGATCCCAAGTGCTTTTTGTTGGGCTCTGCTGTGTATAACTTTGATAAATATTCCTTAGTATCTTCAGGACTTGTTTCAGCAAGACTGAAAATGTCAACTTACTGAGATCTATGCAAAATGTTACCCTGTTCAATTCAGTCCTCCCTGGAATCTGAGATTTTTCATTTGGATCCAGTCCTGCTAAAATATTGAGTGATGGATCCCAACAGAGTTGTCAGGATGATAATTTGGATGTAAACTGCTGTACCTCTATGAAGAATGCTTCAAGAGAATTTCTGAATTTATTTTCTGAAAAGATATTGTAGCTTTTTTAAGATATGGCATGTGCAGTAAATAGTCCAGTCTTTCCCATGCAGAAAAAGGATTATGCTTAAGGTGACTGTAAGAGCATCTTTGGTACTGCTGGTTGAAGTTTTTATACTTGTCTTAGTGGGGCTAAATCTCAGAATGACCTTTGACATCATTAATATGATGCACGCATTGTATGTGTTATTGCAAGAAGGAATAGATCCTTGGGATGGTCTTAAAGTGTCCATGTGAAAAAAAGGATTTCTTTCAGGGCAGATCCAGTTCAGGCTGACAGCTGATTTCTGTCTCCTTGCTAGCTACAGAAAAAGAAAATAATCAGGTGGTTTCACTGTGCCTAACTGTTCTGATTCTGATGAACCAGTTTGTACTCCAATGTTTCTAATACATTATTGCAGCTACTACCACTGTTAAATAATATAAATGTAAAAGAAAGTTTGTTTCCTTCTTGAAAAAGGTCAAATGCATCACATTCTTTGAAATGAGATTTATTTTTTTAAGTTGAATTTACATTAAATACTGTCAGAAGAAAAAGGTTTGCTGTATGCATTTTCAAACATTTTGCATTCATTTTGGATCATTTTTCATTTTAAAACATTTTGGATCATTTACATGATCCATCAACCTGTTGTGCATATAGGTTTTTCAACATAGATGGCAACGTTGATTTTCATGGCCTGAACAACATTAGCTTTTGTTGAAGTTATAGGGTCCAAAATACTTTAGATCTGTATAAACTCCAGATAAACGATACCAACGTTTTTGCTTGTGGAAGGATAAAGTTACATTTATTGCCTTCTCCCCACCTATCCCTTTGCAACTGTTGAGAGGCAGGGCTGCTCTACAACTTCAATGCCCCCGTGAGCCAAATGGCATTCCCTTGCCCTTTGCAATGCTGAAAAATCATGTCATCTCAAACAGAAGAGTGGCAGAGAGGGAAAGGTGTGGTAGTTCCCTTCTTCCATACCAGCCTAGTTGTACTAGGAGGAACTGGGCTTCACTTCTCTTAAGGGATTCTTCAGCTGTCATCTGCACTGCGCTCTGGGGAACTCACAGCATCGTCTGATGATGAGCTCTTCTGGGATAACACAGTGAATCTGGGTGGGTGGTGTGTGATACGCTGTAGGTGACTGAGTTAGTGATAACGTTCACATCCAGCTTTTTCTAGTGTCAGTTTACATTATAAGAATAGCTTCTCATTACTTGGATCCTGTACAGTATCTTGTGTTCAAATCATATCTGAAAATGCAGTCATGTGGGCAAATTGCTACAAGGCTTCAATGTCTGATTTTTGGCACAAATGTTACTTCTTGATGTTAAGTGTTCCCCACTCCCTCAAGAACTAATCTCGCTCTTTTTATTGTCTTATTAGTATCCAATATTGAAATCAAGGCTTTTTTTTATAATGTGTTATGAATTAGCCTCTCACAATATTGTTCTCTAAAATTCTAGGACTTTTGAAATTATGAAATCTTGAAATCAAAATGCAGCAATGACAGCTGCTTTTAGGTTGAAGTGAATTATGAGAGCAAAGCATTAAAGGGGATGCTTGCAAAAATGTTTAAGAATTTAAGAAATAGCTGCTCTTGCTGTTCAGTGCTCCTCAGCTGGAAGGCTCCTGCCCTGCCCCCAGTGAATAGTGAGATGCTATGTCAGGGCACGTGCTGCTTATCATGCATTTTAATGCAAATCTGAGGCTGTTTACCCCTTCGTACAAGCTAAGCTCTGGCCTGAAGTGTTTTAAGAGGGCTTAGATTTGCGGCATCTCAGCTCTGGGGATATGGGTAAACTTATGCTGAGAAGCTGAGACAAGCAATGGGAATAGCATTATGTTAACCGCTGCTATTTTTCTCCAAAGAGATCATGTGTTTATATATGTGTAAGTATTCAAATTTAGCAGCCTTCTGTTTCAAAGAGCTGATTCTGTGTAACAACAATTTATTTTTTTTTAGATGACTTCTACACATTTGCTGAGTTGCACCCACACTTTGCAGAAGACTATCTCTATGCTGATCAGATGGGAGCTGAGAGCAGCTTGGAGACTTCATCTCTTTCTGCTCCTAATGGTATCTGTACTGACTTCAGCCCTGAAAATGCTGAAGATAAAAACAAGCCCCTGCAGAAGAAACTGAATTAACACTACAACTGTTACCTTCCTCTCCTGGTGAGAGGGTTGTCTGTTCTTGGGATTTTCATAAATCACTCCAATTATCCAGCAAATACCAGTTTTGTGTGTGAAAGTTCTTGTACCTTAATACTGTTCTTTGAATCGTATGTGCTCTATTTAACAACATGTTCCAGGTTACTTTGGGAAAGGTGTTTTTATTTTTTTCAAAGACGTCTTTGAAAGGCAAAAATGTGAATGTGCTTCATTATTAATGTTCATATTTAAGAGGAAGCGGCACACTTATTTATATTCCATTGGCTAGTTTCATGTGCAAAGTGTCGCACGGACTGTGCATGTATAAAGAAACTGTAGCTACTATGGTGTTAAGTGCACTTTGGTGATTAGTGTTTTCCCTAGTTCTAGGGATGTTTATTTGGGGCCAAACTTTGCTGTCCCTATTTGCATAGTCAGTCTTGTTGATTTCAGTGGGATTATTCTCTTGAGCAAGACAAGCATATTTTGGCCCTTTGTATTGGTCTCAGTGAACAGTTTGGAAACAGAATACAAAAACTTGCTAAGGATTACCTTTTATTGTTGAATGACAAAATTGTTTCTCTTTCAGTCTATTCCATGGTAGAATGAAAAGGAAAGGCTCCTTATCCCTCACCCCAGCACTTTTCTACTGTAATCTTCTGGATGCAATTAAACATGAATTTTTTCCAAACTGACATGCCACATACTGTTTGCAAATACATAACTAAACTGTTTGTGCTTTTCTCTTGTAACCAATCAAATCATGTCCACCTGACATTTCGAGGGAAGATGTTTACACAATCATATTTGATTAAGATTTATCAGGAATCACAGGATTTTTTTGCAGCAAGCCTGTAGTTACAGATAACTTAGCATGGAACACATCATGAAAACTTTGTCATATCAGCACAAGTTTGAAAAGGCTGCAGTTACTTCAGAGGTTAAACCAGCAACGAGTTGCAGAACATCCTGAAGAAGGCTAGTTAAATCTCTACAGCAGCATTCTATATACTGCATATAATGTATATGAAGCTTAAAATAGTTTAGAACTATTAAAACAACAACAACAACAACAAGAACCACACTCGTGTTAGTAACACTTCTTATGTTTCCTTTTGTAAAGCCAGATGCCTTAAAGGACCACTGAAGGTCTCAGAAAAAAAAATCTAGATTATTATAAACCCACAGAGCTTTACTGATTAGGAAATGTGACAAATGCCTCAAGGAAGGAGCACCCTGTCACAAATTAACTGTGATAGCAACTCTACTTCCAAACAAAAAAAATCTTACAGGTAATTTCTATGACTAATTTTTTAGGGCTGTGCTAAAATATGATGGTTTTTTGATTGGGAAACTGTTAATATTTGAATCTTTCACGTGTTAGAGTAATTTTAAGCTAGATTTAAAAGGGAGGAGTTTTAGCAGAAGGAAATCTGTTTGCACCAAATGCTTTTATAACTATTGTTTAAATAGCAGAAATCCTTAGAATCCTTAGAAATCCCTAACTATATGTGGCAAGTCTCCAGACTGAAGCTGGCTTTAATAAAAAGGGTAGGAGGAAAAAAAGTAAGAAAATATGCTTTCTGTGGGATATGTGGAGGTAATAATTAAATTTTTGATCTATCTAGGTAACACATGCCAAGCTGAAGCAAACTGTCAGACAAGATTTGAATTCAAATTAATCATGAAAAATAGGAGATAGGTTTTGGAAAAATTAGGCATATGAGAAACTACACTTAAATAGGAATAGTCAACTGCACAGGGAAGGGAGCAGATAGTACTGTGTAAACCATCTTGGGACAGAGATGGTACAGAGTATGACAAACTGAGCACTGTTAACTCATTGCTGAAGAACTCCTGATAGTGAGATGCATCAGCGGTCTGCTGAAGAAAAGGTACTCCTGATAGTGAGATGCATCAGCGGTGTAACCTGTGAGACGCATAGTGGTATTTCTGCATTACCAAGTTATGATAAGGCCTTACCTGAAGTACTTGCCCATGTTGGGGCAAAATGGCAAATTAAGCATTAGGAAAATATCCCTACAGTACACCTAGTTAAGTTCAAGAGAATGCATTATTCCAGGTGGGGTGAGGTTCCTGCCTTCCTTCACTGGAGATTTTGTAAACAGAGAAGCTAGAGACACTTGATTTTGCTGATCATGCACTAGGACCACAGAGAGATGTTCCTGAGGTCTGTTTACTGTGATTATACAGTATGCATTTAAATCAGTATGTAAGGGAAAGCACATGTAGTCTGGGCACATTGTATCTCCTCTACAAGATTTTTAATGACACATGGCTCAAGCTGGCTCTGAGATAGTTATATTTTGCTTTGTATGTGAGCTTGGGAATTTGAGAATTTTGGAGTGCAGGGGATGATGTTCACATCTGAAAAGAAGAAAAAGGTAAGCTTAGTAACCCATGGAAAACTTACAAGTGAGGGAAGCTCCAGAGAAGGAGATACTCTGTCCACATCTGTGAAAGAACAAAGAAAGCTGATTGAAGTTGGCTGAATATGGGTGTCTAATTTGCATTTATGGTGTGTGTAACATGGGGCTCTATCTTGTGAAAGCCCATAGGTTCACTTGGCTTCATATTTGTTTTTGTAAGGGAGGCATTTTCCAGTTGTGGCTGTATTTGTATGCAGCTAAGCTGTATGTAGTGCATAGAAGGGCAGATGCCACGTTGCATGGTGAAGAGGCATTGAAATCCTGTGCGACTGATTTCAGTCCAGAGCTGCTACTTAAGAAGATTGGTGACCAGGGCATTGTTTGCTTGGTGAACAAGTACTCTTGGTGGGTGCAGTCATTTTTAAAAAAACCTAACCAAACAGAAAAATAATTTTTAAAATTTAAAAATTTTAAAAAATATAATAATAAA